TTCTGCTTCTGCTACTGCTTCTGCTACTGCTACTGCTACTGCTACTGCTACTGCTACTGCTACTGCTACTGCTACTGCTACTGCTACTGCTACTGCTACTGCTACTGCTACTACCACATCACCTCGACCTCGCCCTCGCCTTCGCCCTCGACCTCGACCACGGCCGCGGCCACAGCCAGGGCGACTGCAACGACGACGACCACTCGTCCTGCTCGTCCTAGTAGTAGGAGTAGTAGTAGCGGTAGTAAGTAGTAGTGGTAGTAGTAGTAGTAGTAGTAGTAGTAGTAGTAGTAGTAGTAGTAGTACTGCTGCTGCCACTACAGCAAGTGCATCATGTCAGTTCAGGTTGTGTTGGCAAACCTGTTTGGAGTGACTACACCAGTGGTCTGTGGAAACAGCGCATGTTACTATTCTAGGTGAGCTTTTCTCATCAGTTGCTTGGTTTGCTTGCCCCTCAACCCTTTTCTTGCATCCTTTACTCTTCGCAACCATCTTGCTCTTGCTTTCCTGGCTCGCCACCCTGGCTCGCCACTCTTCTTTTCCCACAAGTCTGTTGTAGGGCTGGGAACTTCAAAGAGCTGTGAACGATCAAATCTGCGCGGCTGAAGGTGTATACGTGAGGCCTTTGAAGTTTGGGTCGCTTGGTTTTACAGGGTAGAGAGCCCGAAAGGATGGACCTTGCTCGAGACATGCCCAGCTCTGTACATAATGCCGACTTATCCCGGGCTTCTGCTCCAGGCAGAGGCAGACCTCATCTCCAGATATGTAAGCCTGCGCCCCGGGGGCCTTGGAAGAGTCTGGTATTCGAGAGGGTGTTCATTCACGCGGATACAGAGCAAAGGGGTCGGAAATACTCGCCTCGGGTTTCGAGATACGGCGCATTGACCGAGGGGTTGGGTGTATGTCTGCATGATGTGGCCAACTGTCCAAAGTCCAATGAAAGATGCGACGCTGTGCTGTTTAAGGCATGAGGTTTGTGAGCAGGCCTTAGGCAGCCGCAACACAGTTAGCACCAGCAGCAGCTGCAGCAGCACCAGCCGCGGCGCCAGCAGCAGCACACGTCATCAGAACGAGAGTTTAGTAGACATAGTAACATCAGCTTGTAGCAGAAGCGAAATTGCGATGTAGGAAGGCGTCGCGGTAGTTAGTAGCGAAAGCAGCGGTACCATTTAGCGGTCGTCAGCCGCATGTCCAGCCAGGATTTTTCTTGAAATTCACACGTTTGGCCCAGGCCGACTGCTGGCGCGCGGGTCGAACCAGCGGGCGCCCCGAGGAGTTTGGTCTCGTAGGGTCCACCGAGGGTGTCTTGGGTTATTTGGGTGGTTGTCAAAATTATGGTCCTTTTTTTGGTTCCTTATGATAATACGTACCCTATTACAAAGGGTACCCACAAGGGACCATAATTTTGACAACTACCCATTTGTGTGTTTTCGGTTAAATCGACTGGGGAAGCCTTGGCTTGCGAGTTATACGAGTAGACGAGTGCCAGGCACCCGGTGAGGTTTAGTTTGTGCTCTGCGCTGCAAGCTCTTAAGGCATTCTGTTCTTGACTTAGTTGTTTCAGGCAGACACTTCTTTGCTGCTATGACCATGTCTTGGTTTTACGATGCTGGGTACTGGGTTTCGAGCCTCGGCTCGAGAGCCATGGTCTCAGATTCTTGTAGGGTATTGGAACCCATGTCGTGGTCGTCTACTACGGACTTTGTCAACCCCAATCCCTGACAGAAGTGGAGCGTCTCCCAGGCAGACCCAGCGCTCCGAGCAGCGAAACAGGCAGTTTGGAGGGTGTTTGAGGCTTTCCGTTTGGGGTCTGTTTCGGGGTTTTTGGGTATGGGCTGTTTTGGGTTTAGTCTTTCTGAATTTGGGTGCGCTTGCACAGTGACCATGCATCGTCGTCGTCCTCCTAGCCTCTTCCGTGGAGCAGTGTTGCACTGCTATTGACAACAACGACTGCTGCTGCTGCTGCTGCTGCTGCTGCTGCTGCTGGTGCTGGTGCTGGTGCTGGTGCTGCTGCTGCTGCTGCTGCTGCTGCTGCTGCTGCTGCTATTACGACCGCGACTGATACTGTTGTTACTACTGCTGCTGCTGCTGCTACTACCACTACTACCACCGCTAACCCCTAGTACTTACCACCACTATTACCACGACACGACGCCGACATAGAGCTGGCAATGCGTTAAGGATCAGGCGATGCAGAAGCCACGGCTACAAGCCATAGGCAAGGTAATTGCTGCTTTAGTTACTTGCAACCCCAATTGAGGTATTTGAAACTGGATTCTGCCTGTTATTTCTGTATTTCTGCATGAGCTTTCAATCGGCATTCGTGGTTGAACTCATCCTGGCCAATAGCCCCCGTACTTGTGTGATGCAACCCTGAGGTCCGAAAAGCCTGAGCCGAAGCCTGAAATCCCAAACCCCAAACGCTAGACCCGAAGCCCTACACACTTGGCTTTGGCAGGCCGATGTCTCCCCTGGGAGGAGGCCTCGTGAGGGGACTCTGACCCTTGCAGCCGATTTGTTTCACTTGCTTCTTGCCACTTCATGGCCTGAATCTCGGGACCATAGACCTGGCTGTCGCAGCAAGGGTTCGAACCGCTGGATGAGATTTCCACCTTCTCCTACCATGATAAGCGGGAGCTGACCCTGAGACACTTAGTGAACTGGAGCTGAACTGGAGCTTTGCCGCGAGAGTCCGAGGGGATGTGACAAGCTGGCAGCGTTTCATCACGAGCAGGTTCGGGGTGAGCAAAGCCCAAACTGTAAATGAATCCTGTAGTTGGGGTCTCAAACCAGGAACTCGAACCAGGCAAGCCTCTACTCTGAACTCCAGATGTGGTGGATACATATAAAGCCTACTGTGCAGCATAGACATCAGGCAATAGAAAGCCAAAGTCGCATGAACAGGTGAGGTGTCTCTTTAGCCCTCGATAGAAGGGGTCAAGCGCCCTCAGTCGCAGTGCGCCTGGACTTTCAGGGATCCTGCTTCCATGCCACACGAAAGTCATGGCCGCAAGCCAAGACTCTAATATGCAAAGCCCTAAACAAACCCTTAGCTCTTCGCCGAAGGACTTTCCGGACCAGTCTTTTCCTGCTCGAGAGCCGCACAAGCTCGCGCTCGGATGCAGAACAAAGCTGTTGCAAGCGACTTCATCCCCCGAACATGAAGACCCCAAAGCCCCAAGCCTTAAACCTAAACCCTAAACTTCCCTAAACCCTAAACCCTGAAAGCCTGAAGCCCGAAACCTTAAACTCCGGAGATCAGAATCCTGAAGAACTCTTGTTTTTGTTGGCCTTTCTTCAGGCTTAATTTCGGCGAGGCTGCGTGTTGTTTCTCTCTTTTTTTAAACAACTTTATTTGGGCTTTGCGAGGGTTTTGCGAGGGCTTTTCGTACAGGAAATACATGTAGTATGTTTGTCCTTGTTATATCAGCTCCAATTGTGGAAAATAAAAAGTGGAGGCGGCAGTTCTAGGTTTGGGGTTGAGGGTTCGGTGCTGCCGGGGAGTCTGAGGTTCATTGTACTTCATCTATGAGGTTTCGTGGGTAAGGTCAGATGCAGATCCACCCTGTGGGGAAAGCCGGCATGCCTAGGACCCAGGACGCTTCTCACTGAGCCCGTTGCGCTGGCATGAAGACCCGACCAGCCCAAACTGGAGTGCAGTGACTGTGGGAATCAGGTTCTAACTTGTAAGGGTCGTTCACCACCGCTTGCCGACGCAGTTCCTCCTTGGCTGGTCAGAAGCGGCGATCTGTACATGAAAGGGGCATAGACATGCGTTGAAAAAGCCACATGCAAGCCTTCGACCTCTCCGAAATCTTCGCAACCCGCCGAGACCTCAACTAATCAACACCCTCCCCCACAAAGCCCTCAGAGAACCCGTGGCGTCCGGGCTATGGTCTAAGAGCAGCTACCGAGGCCGGGTCGAAGGGGATTCATTTACACTATCCCCTTACGCTTGTTCCCAAAGAATGATAGCCTAGTATTACGTGTACCCCCCAAATACCTAATTGCAATCATTCGCACCCTGTATCACCTTTGTCGCGGGTCCTTCTAAGAAGGATCCTACTGTTAGAGGTCTGTTTCAGGGTCCCTCATCCACCCAAACTCTTAGATGGGTAGGAATCCAGCTGTTGCCAGATTCCACGCCGATACGCATATTGTTGTATATTGTTGTATAGAGCGTTTGTACGAAGTTCATACGATTTTATAGGTGTTTTACGTTACTATCAGGATTTAAACAAAGTGGCGTATACTGAAATGCTGCAGACTCCTGATTTTGCACAACCATTTCTTTGAAGGCCTCGAAATTATGATCCCTACTTGCATCCTTCTCAAGGCAGGAGGGTTTACAAATCAGGGATCTACATTAAGCCTTAGCCTCAACCCTCTCCGGAAGATCCCCTGACTACTCTACAACCACGGAACCCCAATATTCAACGGCTCTTTGGCAATGTGAACCCTAGAGGACGAAAGGCCTCAGCCCAACCCCAACCCTAGATCTGATTACCCGAAAGCCCTAGAGCCTGAAGCATGAACCCTGAACCCCAAGCCCTGTAACCCTAAAGCCCCAGAGCCCACTATGCCACCCCCCATGCAACATGAAAGCCTGGAAGGCCCTACAACCCTGAGCCCGGTGGCCCTAAAACCCCAACTTGCCAAGGGCACCGAGGCAGAGATGTCCTTCGCAGCGGGGCTCACGAAGATTGTTCAGAGCAGCTCCCAAGCAGTTGGGGTTTGGGGCTTCAGGGCTTTTGACTTTACGGATTTATGTTCTAGGAGTGTTCCGGGCTTCAAGGTGTGGGATGAGAAGAATCGAGCGCATGGCACATGCGCAGACCGGGAGGCAAGAGATACGCAGCAGGGCTGAGACTAGGCATTTGGAGACATACTGGGGTTAGCACAGCTGAGATCGTATGAAAGCCCACCATCGGGGGACACTCTGAACAGGAGCATCTGTGTTGTGATTCGGGAGTTTGACACCCCCCCTCGACAACCGCCGCATACCTCCGCCCAGGTAAACAATCGGAAGTCGCCAACCGAGAGAAAATCGCAGAGTCTTGGAAAGCCACAGAGGCGGGGTTACAGGGCATCATCATTATCCCCACCCTCACCCTCACCATCAACATCACAATTCACTGTTCACCATCATCATCATCATCATCATTCATCATTCATCATTCATCATTCATCATTCATCATTCATCATTCATCATTCATCATTCATCATTCATCATTCATCATTCATCATCATCATTCATCATTCACATCATCATCATCGTCACCGTCGTCATCATCATCATAATCATCGTCATCATCGTTATCATCATAATCATCATCATCATCATCCTCATCCTCACCAATGATCATCACCATCAGAATCACCACCAATCATCATCATCATCGTCATCATCATCATACTTGCCATGGTCATGCTCTCCTCAGAGGCATCGGAACAGCAATCGGTTCAAGAAGGGCCCGCACCCCAATCGAGAAGATCACCAAACATCTCGGTTCAGACTGGCCTGTGATGCTGCAGCTGATGATGCGCATGACGACGATCGGCATGCAGGTGATGGTGGTGATGTTCCTGGCGAGGAGCAACAGCAATAGGGTTCCGGGGCAGAAGAACAAAAGCCTCTTCCATTCAGGCGAAGCTGTTGGATGCAGCAGTGGAGCTGTTGCTTGGCTGCTTTCAAAGATCGAGGTAGCAGAGCTTAGCAGCTTCGGCGCTGCATTGTCTCTTCCAGGCTTGTCCGCAGTAGGGTTTGCGTAAGATCTGGAGTCTGGAGTCTATAGGATTGTAGAAGCCGACGGCAGCCGCACAATGGATCCTCAATCTCTCAGGCTTGATACTTGTTACTTGGGGTGTTAGTGATTGGGGTCCTTCATCGCATTGCAGACCTTCTTCCTCCCCAGTCGGCTGCCTTTGGCTGCTAGGCTTTGTCGCATAGAGCTCCTGCAAGGCCTCCAGAGTTCGTTGTTGGGGCGGCTTTGAGTTTAGGGCTTTAGGTTTGGGTTTAGCGACTCAGTTCTTGGGCTTTTGAGATATTGAGATCAATGTTGAGGTTTTGGGGCGACGGTTTAGGTCGTCTTAGGCCTGCGGGGGATCTTGGTTCTGCACTTCAAGTTTAAAGTTGTCTATCCAAGGACATCAACCACTCCCTCGCGCGCGACAGAACTCAACCACAAAACGCTCAACCCTCCAGAAATTTACATACTGAGGCGTACGCTTCTTGTCTAGCCAATGCAGACTTCTGACTGTTGATATATAGCAAGAAGATGCGCAGGTACTTGAGCAGCAGTTCCGAAAAACATCCTGGAATGATAGGGCGAGCAGTTACACATGCAGGCTCACCATGTGGTTCTTTGACACACCCACTCCAAACAAATCCTTAAACCAATGCCTGTTGCAATCATTTAACCCACCTGCCCTGCACTGCACCCGAAATGCCAACGCCAGAACAAACCTTTTCGACCCTCCATTTGCCCCGCTTTGGATTCTCGCGGGTGAGTTCGGAGTGGGGTAAACCCCCTGATCTGGGTGGTGCAGGATTCATGCATCCCTTCAGTCGTTGCAAAACCTCCTGTCCAACAGTCTTCAACCGACGCTTCTGCCTTTGCCCCCGAATGCTCCCGAGGTTCAAGAACCGGTGCATGAAGGAGGCCGAGCTCGAGAAGTGTGAAGCCACGATCTCCTTCGAGGCCGTTGGGGCTTGGGGTTGATATTTCAAAGTTTGGGGTGTAGTGTCGGAGTGGGGGGGTTAAGAGTTTCGGGTGAAGGATAGTTTGGGCTTTGGGGGGTTAGAATGCCCGAACTCGAGAAATAGACACCCTGACCCCCTCAGCAGCCTCGCGGCCGTCCAGATGTTGATGAAGGTGATTTCGTGAGTTCACAGCCCGCAGCTTATCTACCCGGATTGATGGGAGACGTAGAATGTGGCAATTCCTGAAAAGATCGCCTTGATGTATGGAAAGCTACGAAGAATTACTGTCGCCCCAGCAGGGAGCCTGGGGAGCCTGGAGCCACTGTAGTGGTCTCAACGGGTAGCAACAGTCATCCCCGTGCAATCCCCTATGTCTATTCACATTGTAAGATACCGTGGAACCTTATTCCAACCATTCCTTGCGTATCTGTGTTAGTATACCCTCGGTTCTTCAACTTCTAAGTGAGCTACAACCTAAGCCGGAATCCACATGTCAGGTCATCACCAGGGAGATTCCAGACTTCCCCAAGCGGATTCTTACGGCTGCCTGGCACATGTTAGGGTGTAGGGTTTCTGGGGGTATTGGCGTTCCCGGTTTGAGGTTTGGGCATAATTCACGATGCATCCCCCTTGCAACTGTGCGGTAACTCAAAACTGCGTTCAACACGAGTGCTTAGCTATACGACAAAGCTTATGAACCCCACAGTAGCTCCCTCATTAAACCCCCCTCTCCAAACATAAACCGTTAGCTATTCAAAACCATGTTGCGAAGCTTCCACCCCACAGAATCCAAACAGGATTCGACCTACTTTGTGGACTCGTGGCCCTCCGGCACCAGTGCAGAGTCCTGGTTCTATGCAACGCGAGGAGAGCCGGTACTTGAGATTCCCTTTGGGGCCCGTCTTGCACCAGGGGGGTTGTTTCCACGTTGAGTGTGGATACATGTCTATGTACGCTTCTCTATATGTCTATCTATCTATCCATCCATCCACCTACCTACCTA